CTAGGAAGTTATAGTTCGCATCGGACTCGCAGAAGGGATGGCGGGTGAGCAGGGTTCCGGCAGTAGGACGTTCAGCCGAGTCACTGGGAAGATGTTAGTAAAGAAAATTCCAAAAACCAAGGTGTGGAAAGCGGTCCATGAAAACTTACATTGTAAAGCAATCGTACATGAATGCAAGAGCCGCGGGACTAATGTTCATAGAAACATCATCGGGAATCGGTGGAGCCTGGCTCAGACTGCCGAGTTTGAAGATAGCGCCAATGGCCTCCTCCTTGCTCCATGGTCGACGGCCCGCGAACATCTCCAGCACCACACAGCCAAGGGACCATATATCGACCTTGGCACTGTAGCCCTGGCCCTGGGACTGAATGACCTCCGGGGCCATCCAGAAGACAGAGCCTTGCATGGAGTTGGATGAGTCGTTGCCGTAGATGTCGTCTGTTTTCTTGGAGATGCCGAAGTCGGAGATCTTGCATGTGCCATCAAGATCCAGGAGGATGTTGTCGGCTTTCAAGTCACGGTGGAGGATTCCCTTATCGTGCAGGTATGCCAGTCCGCCCAGGGTTTGCCGCGTCAGTGATCTCACGACACTTTCTTCGAATTTACCATGCTTACGTAGACAGCTTCCGACAGATCCACCGGAGATATACTCCAGATAGATGGATATGGAGAATTCACCACGCTCGCATCCAAGATACTGCACGATGTTGGGGTGTTCGAGGTGCTGCATCGTGTCGATCTCCTGATCCAGGGCGGCGACCATCTCCTTGACACGGTCTTTGTCTGCCCCTGCAATTCGGGGATTGATCTCGACCAATTTGACTGCCAAGACTTCACCATTGTCTGCGTTCATGCCTAGGTATACGCGACCATAAGTACCCTTGCCGATGAGTTGACCACGGATGATGCGGAAAGTAGGCTGTCGCTGAGGAACAGGCCCGGTATTGGACGCCACTTGGGCGCTGTTTTGCGGGATCGGATCGAGTTGGCTAAGCCGGGTGCCTGGCCTGGGCCTGATTTGCATAATTTTGGCGCCAAACATCTTGGTACTCTTTCGGCGCAGAAGATCACCCGACCTTTGGGGACCAGCAGTGCTAATGCTGTTCGTTCGGTTTGCTCCCTGGGCCACCTGTCGAATGGATTTCATGCGAGAGAGTCCGCCGCCTCCGCCTCCATTACGAGCAAGTTTCTGTCGAGCAAAATTGGCAGGTTCAGGTGGTCTCACCGGAGCTGTATCAGGCGCATGGGTTGCATGAGGCATAGGTGGCGGGGCCTCCTTTTTCACGTCATGTTCGTTGATAGCCTTGGTATTGGGCGATGAGGGCTCATCCAAGTAAGGAGCGTCAAGATCAACGTCAGGGAAGAAGTCATCGAGATGGTCGATAACGCCCTCGACAGCAGGTCTACTTGCCCAGATATCTCGGGCAAATGACTCCCGCCGTAGTGGTCCAGGTCTCTCATCTTCAGGCGAGACTGGTCCCCAGGTACTAGAAACTGGTTCCTTCCCATCAGATGCCTCTCCGCTGGAACTGGGACCGGCAGTGCTTGGAGATTTGAATCTGACGGACAACTTTGATCTTAACTGATCTTTTGTGTTGACAGTGAGCGATGGCCTCTCCGACTTCTTTTCGGCCTCAGCTTGCGCTTCTCTCTGTTCCTCCTGGGCCCTGGAGGGTCGGACTTGGAATAGACCATCGTCCGAGTCATCATCTGAGTCATCATCTGATTCCTGTTGCTGCTGAGGAGTTCGCTGGAAGGATACCTGATTCTCTTCAAAGTCGAACTCTGGGCCAAACGACTTGTGAGATTGCAACCCTGGTCTCGGTGGGTCTTCAGAAACAGGCTTTTGGGGCGACTGATTGGCAAACGAGACAGGCGGTTTCTCGCGTTCCGTGGCCATCTTCGAGTCGGGCCTCGAAGACTCTGAAACATAGTCAGCGGGAGATCGATCAGGCCGCGCTGTGTCATGCATATACTGACCAAGGGTTGTTCTACTTGAAAATGTTCCAGTAGAATCAAATGATCCTGGTCGCTCAGACTCGGAGCTTGCACTGTCTTGAGTGTTGGCTGAAGGCTTAGATGTAGCCGGTACCGAAGGCAATGGCGTGCCAACGGCACTTGTAATGCGGCCAACGCTGGCAATTGCTGCGCCCAATGACGGCTGCAACCGGTTTTCGCGGCTTTCACGAGTGGTGGGTCTTCTGCTGAGAGAATTGACCTTAGTAAGAGTGTTGGACTCGATTGGCGCTGTTGGAGGTTTACGAAGTGGTACAAGCGAATCGCCCTTCTTCTCATCATAAGGCGAGATACGAGGACTGTCAAAGTCAATGATCTCGTTTCGCCTGTACCCGGTGTCACTGTAGGCATTCTTATTCTGCTGAGACAGCGGCATTTTGGTTTGCAAATACTGTTTTTGTTTGCGCTCGACTTCACGGAGATGCTCCTCATGACGAGCGAGCAAATCAGATTTGTCAGACCCAAGAGCTTGGGTTGCATCCTGTACAGGCTCTGCCGGGGATGCCCTCCCTGCCGAAGCCTTGAGAGTAGTTTGCCGAGAGCCCAACAATGGAGATTCTGGTCTAGTGCGATGCGGTGATAACCTGTTAAGGGCATCTTCGTCCAAGGGCTTCCTGTGGACCTGGTGGTGTGTTGCCGTGGGAGAGATATTGGACTTGTCTGTGAATGAAACTCCCAGGCCATCGACTCGAGGAGTATTAGATGGCATGGGAAGCATAGGAGTCCCTCGTACAAATAGCTTGAGAGAACCGTATGCATCCGACTTGTTTCGACGCGACTGTGCGAGGTTTGCGTCACTCATGGGATCCTCATGCTCACTCTGCCCGGGCTGAGTGAGGTAAATCTGGGCATTGGTCGGGTCGATCGCGAGGCTTTCACAGATCCCGTTACGCAACGACTCGTAAGAGTCCAGATCGGAGATGTCAACCAAGCGGAAATTCAAGCCATCCGTGGTGACAAATACCCATTTTTTCGTCTTTGTGGTCGCCGTGGATGGACGCTCACCGACCGACATGTCGCTGGAGTTGTAAGAAGGTTTTATATAAGGGAGGTAGGCCTCATTCGGGCGAGTTTCCGGGCTCGTCGTAGGTGACGAGTCTTCATGCTGCTGATCAGAAGATGGCTGGTTGGAAGTAGTTTTTGCCTTCTTCTTCAGAATGTTGGAGAAAAAGCCTTTGTGTTCTTTGGAGTATGAAGACGAGGCTTGGTCACTCCATTGCCGACCAGAGGCATCTTGAGGCGAGGGACGAGCACCCTCTGGGCCTTGCCTCCGAGTATCATAATCTTGGCCTTGTCTACGTGAATCATAGTACCGGCCTGTGGCGCCCCGACTGAATCCGGGGATCGACTCAGTGCTATTGCCCCGGGAGTGATCATACTGTCTCAACGTAAGATCCCCGGTGGATGATGAAAAAGCTCCTGTATAAGCGGGCGACGCATGCTGCAGGGCTGGGCTACCACTATTTGGACTTTCTTCATGGGGCCGAAGAGATGATCCCTGAAAAGTGCCCGATTCACTGCTCATGGATGGACTCTGGCGTCGATGGTCGGTGTTCATCCCCGACAAGGCGGTGCGGGTATACTCGGACCGCAAATGGTCAGCCCGCATCCAATTTTCTCGTGCCGGGGAGTCATTGTATCTCGGCGAATCGTGACCAGCAGGGACCGGCATGGTAACCGAACGTTGCCCAGGCTGCTTTTGGCCGTGGTTGGAGACGTGCAATGCACTCAGATGATCCGGACTCACATCATTGACACCAGGGATAGGGCCCGCAGAGCGTGGCTCGGGAAAATTATTGGAGAAGTAAGCTGAACTAGTCTCAGGGAACGCAGTCGCCGGCGGCTGCGTCTGATTCAGTGGTGTAGAGACGGTATAGTCTTGCGAACCATCATGGATTTGACGGATCAATTTGCGCATACGCTTTCCTTCATCTCGTTCCCGGCCAGGTTCCCATTTTTTGCCACTCCGGCCGACCTCCTTTGCCAATTGAGGATAAACCACTTGATGCATTTTTCCAAGATTTCCACGCCCGCCAGATCCATGTCCAAGCTCGAGAAAGTCAGCGCCTTCAAGCTCCAAGGCTTTGAATGTTTCCTGCCAATCGTTGGAAAATCCATTCTTCGCAAGCCAGAGGAGCACGCGATCCAATGGCCACTGGATCGCAGCTTCACTGTGAGATAAACCACCCAGCGAAGCACCGCTGGGATTATGGCGGTGGCTTGTAGTTTTGACAAGTTCGGTATTTTGAGCTGTCGCATGCTGCTGCGGACTGTCGTTGGACGTTAACTCATGAATGTTGCCATGAAGGGCGTAGGGCGAAGAAACAGTGCGGCCACCTGGGGTCTGGGGAAGGCTTGGGTCTGTTTTATACGGGATGGAAGTATTGATGTGATCGTGCATTTGGCTGAGACCCAACCGTTGTCTCTCGGCATTGGTGTGCGCATATGGATCATATGGAGCAGCTCTTCCATGGGGATCGAACAACCCTGGAATGCCAACGCCAATGGTATCATTCCCCGGTATGTAAGTTGCCGATGTCATAGGCTGATGGTCATGACGCGGAGGAATTATCGACAACTGTGCTGGTGGGCGACCGTATGTTAGATGCTGGTTTGGTGCGGGGGCAAGAGGTGGCGGCGGTGGGAAGCCTGGATTCAGCGGCGGTCTGCCCCAGTTTTGCTGCCACCCTGTTTGGGCTCCATAGGTCGCCCCCGGAGGCGGGCCAGGAGGAGGAGGTGGCACTATTGTTTGGGCTTGTGGGTGTCGAGGCGGAGGCGGAGGCAGGTTCATGTGTTGTGTTTGAGAGGAAGGCGGGGGCCCCGGGACATACTGCTGACGACCATCCATTGTGATAGCCGATGCACTAGATTTGCCTGTTGGCTGTAGTTATATCGCGCTATCTCGACTGCGACGTCCTTCTAAGGAGGCGTTTGGGCAGAGGTGGTTTTGGGGGTTGGTCAGGTATAATCATTAACGCATCATGCTAGACGCCCCAGGCACCAAACAGACGGTCGGATTTGAGGACTGGATATTCGGTCTCGTTGATCGCTTCGGAAAGGCAGAAATGAAGCGAATTTAGGTCGTCAGTGCGTGAGTTGGCATGGTTCGGTTCGGCGTCGCCGATGTTATCGCAGCTCTTGGGATTGCGGAACAGACCGAGATCGCGCGACGGGCTGGTACAAAGCCAAGATAATCTCAATAATCGACTCAAATGAAGAAAAATGTCTTTTGAATTCAATACATGGTTAGTCACCTGTCGAGGAGCTCTCAAGGGATTTGGAGGGCTGATGCGATTGGGTCGAAAGATTGGAAGATTGGAATCAAAAAAGGTCGAATGAAATCCAAGCAAGTGGAAGCGAACACAGAACACCACAACTCCTTACTTCCGACGCATTTCGGGAAACGAATGGAACTCACCGAGAATTCTGGAAGGGATAATATATCAAATGGCATATGAAATTGGCGTTTATATTGCTTTGATGTCTTGAGAGGGCTCGTCACGTGGCTCTTGGATTTTGTAACTTTCTCTTCCTTTTCAGGGTTATAGCAGAAGTAGTCGTCCTTAGTATCTAGGACACAGTACACAGTTAGAAAGAACAGTATAACATACGGAGTACTTTTCAATACTTTCTGCATGGGATACCGTCCAGACCCCTTCCGAGACCCTGAAATCTCCTAATCTCACCTTCGGTGGCCCGTGATCACCTAGCACCCGTTACGCGCCAATAACAGCCCTGTGGCGTCTGTCTTCGTTTTTGACCTGCTCTCTAGAAACGTTGGATGAGACATTCATGGTTTAGTGTGCCCCTATAGTTTCCATGGCCCGGAATACTAGTGTTAGCAAATCTTCTACGGAGTTCTCCGTACTTTTACTACTAGAAGTAATAGAGCCCAAAGTCTGTCACTTGGAAAACAGAGTTAAAAAGGCATAAATAAATTAAATTATATTGCGCTAGTAGCCCAACAGAATACCTGTGAGGATTGTTTTGAGAAGTCATAAACATTCACAATTGCGGACATCAAGTGTCCCCATTTGTTGTACACAAAAAGTCGAGTCCAAATTTTGAGACTTTATATCTCCAGATCTAGAGAACAGTACCCTTGTTCTGTTCCTTGTCCACCCTGTAATGTCTCCACATAACGATACACGGAACAGCAAGCACAAGAATCGCCGTCGCAGCAATGCAACCGTACTTCTGACTGTAGCCGTAGGCGAAGTTGATCGCATCACGCTCCTCAGTGCCGGGCAGAAATTTCATTTGAGCAACATAGCCACCGGCATAGATGGTAGCCCACTGGTTCTTAGCACTCTCCGGCAAGGCCTCACGTAGTCCCTGGGGGAAAGTATTGGCGTAGATGGCAGCGGAGACGGCATAGCCAATAGCACCACCCAAGTTCGAGAATAAAGAAACCAGCGAGATCATCATGGGGATACCCTCGCGATCAGAGGCACACATGACCGCCATCTGCTCGCCGATGACCATCATACCTCCAGCAAAGGCAATGAAAATTTGACACATGATAACGTATCCGATGTCGCTGTCCAAGCCACGGAAGTGGATCATCAGGCCGGCGCCGAGGGTCATCAATGGAAGAGCGAAGAAGAGACAGCTGTACTTGAACTCCTTCGCGTAGCGGATCCAAAGCCCGAAGATCGGGGACCAGAAACAAGACCCCACTGTATATATAGCTGTCATGTAGCCGGTCATCGTAACATTGAGGTTGTATACGACCATCACGAAGTAGTAGTAGTACAGATCCCAGGAGTAGAAGCTGAAATAGAGGATAGCCGAGAGACCACAGGCGCCAAAGACGGTGCGGTCCCTAAAGAGCTGGTAAGGGATGAAGTGATTGCGGGCGAACCATTTTTCCCAGGCTGCAAAGACGAAGAAGAGGCAGAAGCCAATAACCAGGGGCGCGATAAAGGCGGCCTCGCCGTATTGGGCACGGCCGTAGTTGGCCAAGCTGAAGGGAAGGAGGAACAAGATGAAAGCCGCCATCAGGATGAAGGCACCGATAACTGCAAATTCGGTTAGTGGCTTATTAAGAACAGAGGAAATATCTATACTCACTATCAAACTCATGCAAGTAGTGAACGATGGACTGCATGGTAGTCCGGCCGCTAACTGGACGCCGCAAGATACCCATCTTCCGGGCCTTGTTCTCGTAGTACTTAAAGACACCAGCCAGGGGCAGGAAAACAAAGGGCATGATAATAGCAAAAGAGCCGTAGGCCCAGCGCCAGTTGGAAGTTTTCAGGAAATGCGTAGCAGCCAGGGGACCCGTGAACGATGTGCAGATAAAGGGCGTGGATGCAAAGGCAAAGGCGAAGGCATGGTTGCGCATACCCGAAGTATCAGCAATGAAGATGTCCAGGATGATATAGATCGCATCATATCCAACCCAGTACAGAACGTAGCCGGCAGCGTAACTGTTGGCATTGTTGCAAGCAGCAAGAATGATAATACCGAGGATATACACGCCCGTGAAGATGATGAGACCTTCAGCACGTCCCCATAGTGTCAAGATCTTTCCGATGGGGAGCTTGAGAACTCCACCGACAATGCTTGCCAGAATGGTGGCTGTGCTGACCTGAGAAGCATTCTGGAAGTTGGAATACGCATAGTAGAGGACGTTGGAGCCAATAGAGGAATGCAAAGCCAGCATAAAGAAGCAGATCCAGATCCTATAAATGTTAGAGTCTAGTTCGTCCGTCGTTCGTTTTCATGGTATTTACCAGGCGTAGGTCGCGACGACAGCCTTTTTGCTCCAAACCAAAGCAACGGCCTCAGCCTTGCGCACACCATCTGCAGCATTTGCGCTGACCTCGTCGGGATGTTCCCGGATTTCCTTCTCCGCACGACCCAGGTTGTTCAGGCAATCATCAACCGTATTCTGCTCCACATTTTCTCACTTTCTTGAGTTGGGCGCAGGTTCTCGACGATTGCACGGTCCTTCCGACCACGAGTCAGATTGATGACAACCATGGCTTACAAGCGAGGGTCTGTCTTATAGGGGCAGCCCCGGGAGAAAGGATTGAGACTATGAGAAAGAAAAGAAAATAAAAAGGACGATCCGAGGAGTTCAACTATATATGGATCAATTAAAGAGATTTTTTAGTACATTTATTCCTTTTGGAAGCTAACCAAGAAAGTGTAGCTGAGACTTGTTCATTGTACATCCATGGATACAGGTGGTTAGTGCACCAAAGTACCCGAGATGAAGGGATCAGATAACCCAAGCCATTGACCTAGACAGGAAAAATGGTCCAGTCGCCACTCAACGTAATCTGGAAGAGTGTGAGATTCACCGGTGCTTTTCGCGGCTGAATTATGCCGATACTATTCTGCGCACAATTGGTTTATGGGCCATCGGTCAGGTCCGGCTTGTCTTTAGGGTTTGGCTAGGCAGGTGAAAAAAGCCGTTTTTGCCGGCAGTCGCGGTAGGCTGATTGATTGATTGATTTGCTGCTTTTTTTTTTTTTTTTTTTTTTTTTTCCCTTTTTCGCCATCTATTATTTTCCCAACCTTGTATTTTAGTTGCAACTTGGAAGTAGTAGGTAGATACAACTGGGATATCCAAGGGTACCAAAAAGCACAAGGAAAACACCCTGCTCAAATACTAATCCTTCTACATCATAAACTCCAAGACATATTGCATTACCGGACCCGTGAGACCTCCAATGAAATGCAAAACATTTCGGGCGCCATTGGCATATTTTGCGCGAAGTGGAGAGGAAGGCGACAATCAGATGTTTTTCGGGGCTCCACCCCATATCAGAAGGATGTCACACGACGTAGAGGTGACCTTTTAATAGATACTTTGTCATAACGTCAAGCCTAAGATGGGGTGTGTAAGCTAGAAATGATGAATGGATAGTTACTAGTTTCTGGACTTAGTCATAAGGGTACTGTGTATTTCTATACACTTTCGTATCCATCTTATCAGATGAAGATTATCAGATCAATTCTTAAGGTTCAAACTCAAATGCCGACAGGTGTATGCCGGGCGCTCTCAGGCCATTCGTTCCAAGTTTCCAAGTTTCTCAACTCTCGGCAGACGCGGCCACTACCGAGAGATTTATTTCTTTTCCGGTCTTGGAGGAGCAGATTTTTTTTTCTCTCAGAGTTTGTTTCCTTGCCGAGCCAACCTCGGCGGATCCAGGTCTATATTTTCACACTACGAAGTATAGACAAGTTTTGCTTTGGTCAAAATGTCTCACAGCTTTGCCATAGCGTAATCTGAAGTGTTTACCGCCAGTGTCCATATCTCTTCTTCGCCTTAAGGCTCTCATATAGATTGTTGCTGTCCTCATACTTGCCGGGAGTGGATGGCTCGTTCGGATAAGGTTTTCCTTTTGGCTTAGTCTATTTTTTTTTTTTTTTTTTTTTTTTGCTTTTTATTGTTCCACGTGGATGATGAACCGTACTTTAGTCAAATAAGATTAATACAGCGTCCGAGGGTGAGGCTCTTTGGCTTTTTCTTCTCTCACTGGCAGGCGTACCGACCTTGAAAACCCTAGCAGAGGCAAATATACTTAGAGACGAACCAATTAGAAAGGGAACTCGCATCTGGTAACCTAAATTTCTTCCTGGGAATCTCCAAACAAGGTTCGCCATTCTCGCCAAGCCAACGACTTGACAACATCGAACTAGTTCCACTGAGGTATTGGAGCCTACACATGGAATGCATTAAAGGAAAAGCGCCACTTCCTACTTGTCATGAACATGATGGCATATCCAGCCTTACAAAGAAAGTCTGAATCGCCCCAAGCGATGTGCCAAGTCAAGTCATTGGTTTGGAAAACGAGACGAAGCAACAAGAATGAGCAGGATCCACTCCAGGAACCTTGGAAACATCTGGCTTTGTAGTTCATGCAGCTTTATTTTTGAACATAAGGTGCTTATTTTGACATTGTAGCCGGCGCTATCCTAGCCGAGGACGATGGGTTGGCTCAGCGGTTTGCATATCCCATCTACTTTATAGCTTGGTAGAGCTACGCCGGACATTATTTAATCATGGTAGACTATTAAGAATATGGAAGTTTCATTGTATTTCGTGAGTGAATAGCGGAGATGTTCGTGCTACTCAATAACAAGCGTTATTAAATCAGCTGGTATGTGGCCACTCTATTTCAAAGTAAACGCCGTAAAAGTGGAAAACAAACTGCCAAGGCCCAGATAATCCAGAGTTCAGATATTATGCTGTTTTCGTGTGCATCGTGACATTACGATAATAGGCATAATATGTTCTCGCGCTTCGAATAACTTATTGGCTGTCGTTGCGATGCGCAGCGGCCTCGGCGGTCAACTTCAAGGCCGCAGGGGCATCGTCGCGAGGCATGTACAGCTCGACCAGCTAGATAGTGCGTTAGCAGAGAATTTGAGACTTCGT